GGGGTGATTTGGGGTGTCAAATTAAAAATACCGAGGGAAAGGAATCGAAATCCTGGGCGGGCGGTGTTGATACTTCAATCTACAGAACAGTTGAAAATATTAAACTAAACCTATCGGTATACAAGAAGCGCAGAAAACGGCGACAATTAACTGTTATAAGTAGATTCTTATAAGTTTTTTGTTCTTTTGGAAAAATCTAGAGGGTGGCGGGGAAATGAAGATTCGTGGCACGTTTAGAAAATCACTTTGACGTGGTTGCTAAACGTATGAACAAGCAAAAGCTTTAACGTTCATGTTTCGGTGATAGATAGGTGAAATGATAACGAAAGGAAGCTAAATCGAACAAGGAAGTAATGGAAAAAAGTCCAAGTGAGCTGCTCATTGCATGCAGCTAACAAACAGGTAGGGACAATAAATGCAGTTTCTAGCACACTTGAATTAACACAACAGGTTAGAAGATCTTATCCTTTGTGGAAAAATGGAAGGCAAACGAAGGAAGGGTAGACCATAGAGTTATCTCCTTTTTAAACCCTATAGTGTACATCTATGGGGTAGACCCAGAGAAGCTTGTTTGAAGAACTTGAACTGGTGGGTGATGGGTGAACATTTAGCAGAGACTGTCCCCACCATTTCGGAACTTCACGGTGACAGTAAAGATGGTTCCAGTAGGGATCGGGATAGAGGGTGCCAACGTCCCTCGTGACTCATTGGAGCAGAGGAAGATAGGACTAACGCTAACATTACTTAATCGCAATCCCACATCATCACTGATCACCACCATTATTTCTAAAATCATCATTGCTCTCAGATCAATGACTTACATCTATAATCCTGGAATCTCTATCTGTAACTTGTAACAGTTACTTGTCATACTAAGTATGCACGTAATACACTTTTTTCTACTTATCAGATGGCGTCAATCTCATAGAAATGGGCAAGGGATTTTATACAAAAAATGTGGGTGACGGGGAACTCCAAAATGATATTATAGGAATTTTGTAGGACATCCGAGCGGAGAAAAGAAAGGAGAATCACATCGAGGGGTCTGTTTCCGATCTGGCACTTTATTGTGATGGTAGCAAGTAGGCCTACAAGTCTTTCCACGCCACATTTTTGCGTCCTTTTTCAGCCTTTTGAAAGTTTCAAATTTGATTACGAAAATTAAAATAAAATCAGAGAGGATGAAGGCACCACATCACACACAATGGATGGACCGAGGGAAGCTGGTGGGTGTCTCTAGAGGGTCGGGGAGAGACAGCAACCTGCGTGGAAAAGTCAGAAGAATATCCAACCAGCTGATGTCTGACACGATCAGCAGACAGACCCTTTCATGGGTCCTGGAGAGGAGGGAGGAGCAGCTATGGCATAGTGCCGCCTGCAGTGACGCCTATTCTCCAGCCAAGGAAGGAAGTAAAAAGTATCAACATTTTTGCTCACCCTCGAAACGTTGCACTGTCTCCCGTAGCATCCTAATGACTAGTCCGTCGTGTCGTGTTGAGACCACTAGATCTACACGTGCGTGCAGCGTGAGTAGAGGGAGACCACTAGATTAGATCTAAAAACGTGCGTGAGTAGAGGGAGACCACTAGATCTAGATCTAAAAACGTGCGTGAGTAGAGGGGGACACGTGCTGCCGGAACCACGCACTTCCGTGACAGAGACATGCTGTACAAACGAGTAGATGGGTTCATATCGGCCGTGCCTTGCGTCAGCTCACACTGACATACACACACACTGACACACACACACTGACATACACACACTGACACACACACACACACACACTGACACACACACACTGACATACACACACACTGACATACACACACACTGACATACACACTCACACACTGACACATACACACACATTGAGAGAGACCGAGAGACAGAGAGAGAGACAGAGAGAGAGAGAGACAGAGAGAGAGACAGAGGGAGACAGAGAGAGAGAGAGACATAGAGAGAGGGGGGGGGACAACTTACTGTTTCCTGCCCCCTTCCTCCACGGTCCAGCGACATTGTCGTGAGTGAGCTGCTAGGGGACGCGCGCTATGGT